CCAAAGAGGAGATATATGGATGCAGTGAGGGAGGACATGCAGATAGTTGGAGTCAGAGTAGAAGATACAGAGAACAGGGAGAGATGGAAATCAATGATTTGCTGTGGCAACCCCTGAAAAAAAATGGGACAAAGCCGAAAGAAAAAGAAGAAGACAGGCAGAAACACTGCTGCATGTAGTAGTGTTCATTAGTATGTCCACATATGTACTTTTGTCCTTTTGTGACACTTAGTGGTGACTTTAATTACAGAAATGTTTGGGTGAGATGGGCTGAGGGAGTGCTTTTAATGTGGTGGGTGTGAGAGAAAGGTTGGGGCATTTAGGTGCTTAGAGAGAAAGAGAAAGAGAGAGAGGGAGGGAGAGGGAGTGGGAGCAGTTGACAGGAAGATGACGCACACACACACTAAAACACCCTCATAATTCCAGACAGCCATGACGCTTAATTTCTCACACCATAAAACAGAGTCTTTGTGTTGATGTGTCTGACACTTAGGAGCTGCTGCTGCACTTAGGTCAATGTTAGAGATCTGTGTCTGAATGTGATTACACACAATTTATTTAGTTAATTTTAATTGTAAATATATAAGTAGTTTAGACACATATTGATCTTGTTGTGTACACGTGTGTTCAGTAATTCAAAACAATGATGATAAACTAAGTTTTATGTTTGATGATAATAAAATTAGATCAACACAGTGGTTTCCTAGGTGTGGGGCAGGGTACTGTTGGGGGAGCTCAGAGCTGTTACATTTGGGGACCCAGCAAGACAAATGAATTTTAATTAAAATATTTTCTTTATTTTTGCTAAGGTGGTCACATTGCATTGATTTGTGGTTTTAGTTCCCTTAATGGGAACAGAAAGAAAATCTCGCTTTAATTCAATGAACATGGAAGTTCAGTGACAATATCTGTGAATGACAACCTTCCTAAATACAGGGGGTGTCGTAGGATATAAAAGTTAATTAAGTCATGAAGACCAATGACATGGCAGCTGGTACATTTATTGTGTGTGCGCACTGTTCTTAAAGTTATGAATAAAGATTAATGTCAGAGTTATAATGAGAAAACGTTAAAGGTTGGATTTCGGGTCAGTTCAAAGCCTTAACATTGTTTAAACATGTAAATATGTGGTGTTTTGTACTTTGATAAAATATTGTATCGTGCTCTCTACAGGTACGGGAGATTCTGGGTCACTGTTCCTGTCCAGCTCAGTTTCCTATGGTCAAGGTGTCAGAGGGGAAATACAAAGTTGGAGACTCCAGTGCGCTGATCTTCATTCGGGTGAGTTGTCAACCACTACATATACACACAGTACACAGAAAATACAGTTCAGTGTTGTAATATGCTAAAAATACTGTGATGTATATGTTTTTCTTTCTTGCAATAGTATAGTGCTGTTGACACATGGATAAAAAAACCTATATAAAGCGTAAAACCTAGGTTTTAGCATGGCATGGCATGGCAGTGGAGTTGAGCCATGGCACTTTATGTCCCTTTTATACAATAAACATGTTTGATCTGCTTTACGGTTGCATTAGATTGCTCTGCTCAGTGCTGCTCTAAGATTGCTCCCTTGTTACATCAAATTACCTGCTGCTCAGACATGGAGCCATCACCATTGTGTCTGTTCATGAAGCAACAGTTGTAAACAATGGTTGTTTGTATGCCTCTGTTTACATCGTCTCATAAAGGTCCGCTCCCAGAGTTAACGTCAGCTTTACATTAGGTGGTGCTCACTCACTCTACGCTCTGTTCAAAGTCTGTATCAAGGCCTCTGAATATTTATTAACTAATTCATTTTAACCTATTTGTATATGTTGCGGCAGTTGAAGGATGACTCTGAGGCGCAGGTGCTCTACACTTCTTTATTCGTCCGTGACAACAGGAACAGAGAGAGAACATGGCGCTGAGCACCAACCTCTATGGGCACTTAACACGGCCCTTTACCCATAACCCTACTGGGTGAGAGGCATGCCCCTCAGTGCCCGCCACAATGTAGGAAATAATTACTAGTGTATTAATATCAACTATTTCCTCTGTCAGTCCAACACTACTTAGTCAGTTTGGTATTAACATCAACTGCATGGAACCTTTGTTTTTTTAAAGTCGGCTACAGTGACTGGATCAAAGCTGTATAACTGCCTGTAATGTCAGTACTTTGTCGATTTAAACAGCGCCTTTTTATCCAGACACCGACATTTGATACATTCAACATGGAAAACATCTGGCAGACACTTTGTTTGATGGCATTTCTTTCTTTTTATCCAAAGTGAAGCTATTTATAAAGGGATATTGTTATGTCCCTACACTATGTTACATAAAGACAGTTAAGAGCCTGCTAAAAAATTAAAAAATCAATTTATTAATCAGTTTATTTATTAATCATTCATTAATCAACCCCAGTCCATTATGGGAAATATAAACTTTTGTACATTGGCCTGGAAGTGCCACCATCCCATCACTGTACAGTGTGTATGAAAATGTTATATTAGTGTTTAAACTGAGGGAAAGTGTGTTGATTGTGTGCAAGAGAACTGCTTGGGCTATATAACTTATAGTATTATGGCTTTAAGTTAATTGTCTACTGGGAAGTGTCTGCAAGCTCTTGGTCACATGGTGATAAATTGTAATAGTTGACTTTTTAGGGAATGTGTGTTCCTCTTGACTAGGTTGGAATCCAGGTAATGGATTTTGGTGATCATAAAGAGGGGACTTCCTAATCTAGAGGAAGTTTGGCTGGTTAATGATTGTGTCCTTTGTCTGAACTGAAATTTAACGACTGTGTTATGTAACCATGTAAAACCATATAAAAGAGAGCCCACCTAACAGGGGGTCAGTCCTCTCTAACAACTGTATTAGACATGAGTTAGGAGTGGCTCTTTTGGCCAAGATATTTAGAATAAATCTATTAAAGACAAACTCTGTTGGCTCTTGATTTTTCCAAATTATGTAAAAATGTCTACGACAACAGGCATATAAGACATACTGTCTTTTATTTGAAATATAATAGTAGACCTCAGTATACAGTGCAGTGGAAATACAGTCAGAAATTTCAATTTATTCCTCTTATTGTAGGAGGAGTGGAGTAATTCTAGTATTTAATAGGTCATATAGGTCACAGATCTGGTCTACTTTATATATTTATATCTAGAAGGCAAAAACTGGAATATTAATACTGTGGTGGTTTGAGTAAGGTACACTTTATACATGCATGACAAAAGAAGGCCAATGTACAGTATATCAGTGTTTATCAAAAAAGGGAAAATAAGCTTTTTTCTAATAAAATATTATATCACCACGAGCAACTCCAGAGTAAAAAAGAGTCCAGCCTTTCTCAAGGAGTTGGGTCCCAGAGCCCAGACTGTGCATGGAGGTGAGCCCAACTATATCTAGCCGGTATCGCTCAACCTCCCGCACAAATTCAGGCTCTTTCCCCACTAGCGAGGTGACATTCCATGTTCCCATAGCTAGACTAGATGTCCAAGGATTGGGACGTCGGGGTCCTCGACCAAGGTCGCCACCAAAATCACAGGGCACCGACCCCGTGTGGGCCTTCCTGCGGGTGGTGGGCCTACTGGAAGGCGGGCCCACGTCGCTTGTTCGGGCTGAGCCCGGCCGGGCCACCAGGAGCTCGTCTGCCCCAGGGTGGGGCCCCGGTGGCATCCATCCGGGTGACGTGAACTTCTTTGTTGACTTTGTTTTCTTCATCAAGGGGGGGTTTGGACCGCTCTTAGTCTGATCCGTCACCTAGGACCTATTTACCTTGGGAGACCCTACCAGGGGCATTAAGCCCCCGACAATATACAGTGGGTGCGGAAAGTATTCAGACTCTTTGTTTCATTGCAGCCATTTGCTAAAATCAAAAAAGTTCATTTTATTTCTCATTAATGTACACTCAGCACCCCATCTTGACAGAAAAAACAGAAATGTAGAAATCTTTGCAAATTTATTAAAAAAGAAAAACTGAAATATCACATGGTCATAAGTAGACCCTTTGCTCAGTATTGAGTAGAAGCACCCTTTTGAGCTAGTACAGCCATGAGTCTTCTTGGGAATGATGCAATAAGTTTTTCACACCTGGATTTGGGGATCCTCTGCCATTCTTCCTAACAGATCCTCTCCAGTTCCGTCAGGTTGGATGGTGAATGTTGGTGGACAGCCATTTTCAGGTCTCTCCAGAGGTGCTCAATTGGGTTTAGGTCAGGGCTCTGGCTGGGCCAGTCAAGAATGGTCACAGAGTTGTTCTGAAGCCACTCCTTCGTTATTTTAGCTGTGTGCTTAGGGTCATTGTCTTGTTGGAAGGTGAACCTTCGGCCCAGTCTGAGGTCCTGAGCACTCTGGAAGAGGTTTTCTTCCAGGATATCTCTGTACTTGGCCGCATTCATCTTTCCTTCAATTGCAACCAGTCATCCTGTCCCTGCAGCTGAAAAACACCCCCATAGCATGATGCTGCCACCACCATGTTTCACTGTTGGGACTGTATTGGGCAGGTGATGAGCAGTGCCTGGTTTTCTCCACACATACCGCTTAGAATTAATGCCAAAAAGTTCAATCTTCGTCTTATCAGACCAGAGAATCCTATTTCTCATAGTCTGGGTGTCCTTCATGTGTTTTTTGGCAAACTCTGTTTGCTTTCATATGTCTTGCACTGAGGAGAGGCTTCCGTCGGGCCACTCTGCCATAAAGCCCTGACTGGTGGAGGGCTGCAGTTATAGTTGACTTTGTGGAACTTTCTCCCATCTCCCCACTTCATCTCTGGAGCTCAGCCACAGTGATCTTTGGGTTCTTCTTTACCTCTCTCACCAAGGCTCTTCTCCCACGATTGCTCAGTTTGGCTGGACGGCCAGGTCTAGGAAGAGTTCTGGT